AAAAAAAAAAAAAAAAAAAAGAGAAAGAGGTGGAAAGGAGGGAGCAGATTGTACAGAGGCCTGGAATGTGAGGTAGGTCACAGTGAGTGACCACGCTGGACAGCTTGGGAGAAACCAGAACACAGAGAACCTCTCTGCGCATCTGCTCACCATGTCCTTTCTGTCGTTTTTGTTTTTTTGAGACAGAGTCTCACTTTGTCGCCCAGGCTGGAGTGGAGTGCAGTGCCACGATCTGGGCTCACTGCAGCCTTCACCTCCTGGGTTCAAGCCATCCTTGTGCCCTAGCCTCCCGAGTAACCAGGATTACAGGCGCCCGCCTAGCTAATTTTTGTATTTTTAGTAGAGACGGGTTTTCACCATGTTGGCCAGCCTGGTCTGGAACTCCCAACCTCAGGTGATCAACTCACCTTGGCCTACCAAAGTACTGGGATTACAGACGTGAGCCACTGTGCCCACCCCTTTCTGTCCTCATTCCCTCCCCACCTCACTCAGTCTGTAGCAGCTGTGTTGCTCCTTGCACAGCCCAGGTGAGCTCTGCCTCTGGATCCTTGGCCTGAATGGTTCTTTTGTCATGTGCCTGCTCGGCCCACCTTTCCTTCTGGCCTTTATTTAAAGTGTCACCATTCTAGTGAAGCCTTCATTGGCCTCAGTGTAAATGTTCACCTCACCCCTGTCCCCTTCTTTGCTTTATTTTAGATTTTTGTATTTAGCACTAATTTTCCTCTGACACACTCTGGATTTTTCTCATTGGTCTGGTTTATTTACTGTGTCTCCCTGGATTTGAGTGCCCTGAGGGCAGAAATTTTGCTCATTCTAATTTCACTGCTGTGTCCCCAGCACTTGGAACGGTGCCAGGGACAGAGAAGATACTCTGTGAATCGTTTTGTTTTGAGACAGAGTTTTGTCTTGTGGCCTAGGCCAGAATGCAGTTGTGTGATCTCAGCTCACTGCAACCTTACCTCCTGGGTTCAAGCGATTCTCCTGCCTCAGCCTCCCAAGTAGCTGGGATTACAGGCATGCTCCACCATGCCTGGCTAATTTTGTAAACTTGTATTTTTAGTAGAGATGGGTTTTCACCATGTTGGCTAGGGTGGTCTCAAACTCCTGACCTCAAGTGATCCACCCGCCTTGGCCTCCCAAAGTGCTGGGATTACAGGCATGAGCCACCACTCCCAACTCTTGAATCACTGTTGAATGATGAATTGAATCTATAAAGTAATAGTGGAAGGATAATGTAATTGTCTCCATTTTGCAGAAGAGAAAACTTAACTTCGAGGTAGAATTTTTTTTTTTTTTTTGAGACAGAGTCTTGCTCTGTCACCCAGGCTGGAGTGCAGTGGTATGATCTCGGCTTATTACAACCTCTGCCTCCCGGGTTCAAGTGGTTTTTCCTGCGTCAGCCTCCCCAGTAGCTGGGATTACACCTGTCCACCACTACATCTGGCTAATTTTTGTATTTTAAGTAGAGATGGGGTTTCATCATATTAGTCAGGCTGATCTTGAACTCCTGATCTCAGGTGATCCACCTGCCCAGGCCTCCCAGAGTGCTGGGATTACAGGCGTGAGCCACCGCACCAGGCCCAGAATTTACTTTCGTTTTCTTGCCTCAGGTTTATATTACAAATAGCAGAGGAGGACCCCAGCCCCATGTAGACAGCAGCCCTGGGGAGGTCGGACCAGTCCTTCTGTCTTCACGTTGGCAGACAGATATCTACTCTGAAGCCTTTGTAGGGGCCTGGGCACCTTTGGGAGTCCGAGCTGGAACTGAAGCTGGAGGTGCAGCCTGAGCCTTGGTTTGTTCCTTGGCCTTGGCCTCTGGCCGGCATAGCATGAACCCCTTGGCAATGCAGGCACAAGCATGCTTCCCAAGCTTGGGGTGGGCAATGTAGGCAAGTTGATCGAACTTGCGTCTGACCCCTTTGCGATCTTGGGTTTAACCTCCTTGGGCTTCATGAGGGCCTTGATAGGCTCAGCACCTGTACTCATGGCCCTGGCATTGTTGGCCTGCATCTTTTTTTTTTTTTGGAGATGGAGCTCTGTCACCCAGGCTGGAGTACAGTGGCACAATCTTGGCCCACTGCAACCTCGACCTCCTGGGTTCATGCAGTTCTGCCTCAGCCTCCCCAGTAGCTGGAACTACAGGTGTGCACCACTATGCCGGCTAATTTTTGTATTTTTAGTGGAGCCGGGGTTTCACCATGTTGGTCAGGCTGGTCTCAAACTCCTGACCTCAAGTGATCCACCCGCCTTGGTCCCCCAAAGTGCCTGGGATTACAGGCGTGAGCCACCGCGCCTGGCCGGCCTGCATCTCCTTTAGGCCCTTCTTGTGTTTCTTGGCAAAGCGCATGTTCCTCAGAAACTTGGGGTCCACCCCCTTAAGAAATTCATATCTTTGTGATCGGGGTTTCTTGAAACCATTTCTCTGCCATTTTGAGAACTGGATGTGTGTGTTGTGGTTCTTGGACTTGGCCAGGTCTGCACCTTAAGCCGTGGTTCCCAAAGCACCTGGAACTGGAAGAGCCCAGAGTTTACTTTCTTAAGGGTGACTGTCAGTAGCATTTTGACCCCAGTTTGCATGACTCCAGGAGTCATTGTGTCTGGAAAAGTGCTACTTTTTTCTCTCGTTGAGTCAGTAACTGTTCATTGCCCACCCATGTTATTCCCAGGGGTATAGTTATGACTGTATCTGAGAACGTCCAGGGTATGAGGTAGATGTTGGCTAAATGACCAGAGGACTGAATGTGAAGGGTCAGTGGAGACAGGCTGTGTAGGAGATCATGGAGCTGGGAGACCCTATCTTGGGGTACCTGATGCATCAGTGAGGTCTGGGAGGACATCCTGGAGGTGGTGCTGCCAGAGCAGAGACACGAAGAATAAAAAGAATTGCCCCTCAGGCCGGGCACGGTGGTTCATGCCTGTCATCCCAGCGCTTTGGGAGGCTGAGGTGGGCAGATCACCTGAGGTCAGGAGTTTGAGACCAGCCTGGCCAACATGTGAAACCCCATCTCTACTAAAAATACAAAAATTAGCTGAGCATGGTGGCAGGCGCCTGAAATCCCAGCTACTCAGGAGGCTGAGGCAGGAGGATCACTTGAACTCAGGAGGCAGAGGTTG